TTATTTTTCGTCTAAGACTCATTGTAAATATCAATTTTGAGTGAATTATCTTCAGTAGTTACTAAAATATCGCACTTTTCGTATTTCTGAAAATTACCGTTATATAGGGAGGTAGGCGTGGTTATTGTCCGATTTCGCCCATTTTCAATACCATCCGTCCTATGCCCAAAAGAAGTCCACGTACCAAGTTTCGTTAAGATATCTCAATTTTTACTCGAGTTATCGTGTGCACAGACGGACGGACGGACGGACGGACGGACGGACGGACAGACAGTCACCGCTTAATCGATTTCTCTTTTCATTCTGATCATTTATGAATACATTTGTCTATATCTATCTCGATTCGTTTTGCCTGTTACAAACAACCGTTATGTGAACAAAGTTATAATACCCTTGTGCACAAGTGCGCTCGGGTATAATGAAAGGCGCGTGTGCATTTGGAAAACTTAAGCTTATCATATAGATATTCCGGTTTTTTATAAACAAGCAATTTAAACATAAATATACAAATATATAAATGGTTAAATTTCTTCAAGCCATATACATACCAGAGGCATGGTTAAATGCAACATCGAGTTTGTGGAGGGAATTAGAGTTTAATTTGCTGTACACTATTTCGAAATACGTTAATTGAGGAACAATAAAACTAGAGACCAGCTTTTTTTCGTGTCTAAGGATACGAAAAGTGAGGATACTCTGAGGCAGCGCAAGGTGTAATAAATTTTTACAACTTCATTGATGTGGCCCTCACAAGTCAGCTTGGAATTTGTAGTAAAACCTAGGTTTCTCACTTTGTCAACCAATTGAAGCTTTGCACTTCCAATATAAAGGTGAGCGATGTCAGAAAGTAGGATTTTATCTTTGAATATTGGTAATAAGTACATACGATTTTTGAGCATATAGGCAGAGTAGGTTTTCAGCAGACCATTCAAGAATCGAGCAGAAGTCCTCATTAAGCTTACGAGTTATATCCTGAACCTTGCTGATATGGTTAGAGATATATAATTGAACATCGTCAGCGTGAGCGTGTAGACGAACATGTGAGCAAGAGTTGAAAATATCATTTATAAAAATACTGAAGAGGGGGGACCTAGAACAGAGTCCTGTGGTACTCCGCAACATCTTCCCACCAACCTTGAAAGCGTGTTGCCGACTTTAACTTTCTGCATTCTGTTACTTAAATAACTATTTAGAAGTTTTACTGCATTTACAGCAAATCCAAAATAGTCAGTTAATTTGCCACACAGAAGGCTGTGGTTGGCAATGCCAAACGCCTTGAAGAAATCAAGGAGGCATAAAAGTGTTAGGGATTGACAAAGACTGAGTAGGTTATTATTCTCAATGAACTCGGATATTTGTTGCGCCATACTTAAGCATGTCGAATACTTTCGACAATCCGGTCAGTATGCTTATGGGTCTAAAATCAGCAGGAACGGAGCACCAGGTTTTTTAGCTAGAGGGGTAATTATTGCTACTTTCCATCCGGAGGGGAAAGTGGAAGTAGTGAAGCAGTGGTTTACCAGATGGGTGAGACAGCTTATAATATTTGGTAAAATTAATTTTATAAATTTAATTGGGATGCCGTCGGTGCCAATTGCGTTGCATTTTATGCGGTAAATGCACTTCGCTACTTCAGTTTCAGCTACCCATACGAACTGAAATGTCCTTGAGGGCGATGATCTGGAACAGGTTTTCATGTGTTGTGAGCTACCATGTACTACTGAAGAATTGGATAAAGCAAAATATGTGTTAAGGAGATTAGGTTCGAGAAAACAAGAAGCTTCAGAGCATGGCCGTACGCCTAACCTTTTCAAATTAGACCATAACTGTTTAGGGGGCAAATCAGTGTTGAGTTTGTCACAGTAGTATTTCTTTTTAACGAGGTGAACAGAAGCGGAAGCATTATTCCGAGCTCGCTTATAAGCACTCCAATTGTCAATATTTGGCCTTCTTTTCGAAACATTGTATGCGATGTTGCAGTTTTTAAAGGAGGCCACTTTAGCTTCGCGGGTGTAAGCTTAGGAAGTGGCACGTGCTTATTTAAAAAATAGAGTAAGCTTTGAGTTAAGAAGTTTAATTTGTCATCAACCGTGACTAATTGCCAACAATAGTCCCAGGAAAATTGGTTCAAGTCCGAAAATATTTAGCGTTTTCGTATGGCTGACTGTAAGCCAATTTCTACTCCGAGTGATCAGAATGTTAAGCTCTCGAAAGGTTAGGGTTCAAGCAAGGAATCATCATGGAGCGTACTTAATCGTTTTCCGTACCAATGAGCCGTTGGATGCTTGTTATACTTGGCGCAGAGCACTCGACCAGATATTGCTTTCGCACTCAATGATGCAAGTCGATTCAATACTAACTACAATGCGGTTCACTGGCCAGCGGTCAAATGTATATTTCGCTACCTAAATGGGACCTCAAATTTTAAACTACGCCACATCAAACATGTCGATGAAGGTATTACAGGTTTTTGTGACGCGGACTACGCATAGGACGTTGATAAACGAAGATCATTCAATGGTTACATCTTCAAGTTGTCAGATGCAGCAATCAGCTGGAACAGCAATCGTCAGCCAACGGAGGACTTATCAACTACTGAAGCTGAGTATTTGACATTGTCATCTGCAGTGAGGGAAGCATTGTGGCTGAAGCAGTTTATTATTGAAGTCGATCCCAGTTCATGCAAGGCTATTCCAATTAGTTGTGGCAATAGAAGCGCAATTGACCTAGCTGAGTCCGACGGGTTTAGAAATCGCACCAAACATATCGACATCACCACATTAGGGATATGATTCAAAAAGCTGTGGTCACCATAAACTACATTTCCTCTGAGCAAATGGCGGCTGGTAATTTAACCAAAGCTGTCTCTAAGGACAAACACTCCTCCTGTGTCAAACTTAGCGGATTATGCTGAACTCCAAAAAAATTTTTAATGAAATGTGCACAGTAAATTCTACATTGTGAATCTAAACAATAATGATACTTTGTATACATATGAATGAATTATTTACATAAAAATATTTTACTTAAGTGAATTAGTACTTAAAATGAATTGGTAATTCATCAAGTGAGGGTGTTGGTAATAGATTAAGCAATACTGTCACATCTCTAATACACATCATGTTACACATCTCTAGTCTGGCTTTACATCTTCAAAAGACTCACACGTGTTTTTCTTTACTCATCACATCAAAGAACCACGTCCTATTTAAAGGAAATTTACTTAAACATGAAAATTTTGATAAATTAGTAACTACTTAAGCAAACTCACTCAAAATAGATTATTGCAATAACTATTTAGCAGAAAACTAGGTTATTATAAATTTTTGGATAACATCAAATCGAATCTGTGACGCAACGACAAGCAAACGTTTTATCTAGCATAGCATTTAGCTCTTACCACAAGCATCACACCGCTCGTAATTTCACATAATTTTAGTTTTTAAAACCCGTTGCGATTACGAATTACGAATTACGAATTATAAAGGGATAAGATACATATGACACTTCAGTCGCAGTTCAAAATAGATCGATCGTTTGGCATACATAAATAAATTCGTGGGATTTATCTCCACATAATGCAAATATTTTTTTTTCTTCATGAAAATATTCTCTACGTATCAAACTAATGTTATACCTACCGGTATTAATTGCGTTGAATCTGTTTCATCTATAAGCAGTTATATTATCGGATATGATTTTTGTTTTGTGCCTCTTTTGCAGGTGGTAAGCGATATGTACATTAACTACATATGTATGTATGTACATATTTTTTATGGGTCCCCCAAAAAGTATTAAAAAATTGTAAAGGAAACAATTGGCTATTATTATTGCAAGTCCTCTGAAGAGAAATAGAGTTTTCTAATAGAAAAATATTGATTTTCAGGGATTCAAGATTTTTCCCATATAAAATACATGGAAAACTTTGAGCACTTTGATTTCGAAATAAAAAACAAAAACACGGATGAATTTTGTCGGTATGGAACAATGCTGGGAGTGGAGCATTAAAATTCGGCACATACATATAATTAATTTTAAAGAAGGCTATGCACTTACCTTGCTGAATGTATCTTGAATATTATTTCCGATGCATATCTATACATTTATAAGCGTTTATGTACACACCTATGTACATATTTACATATCTACATATGTATTTATGAACTGAAGGAAGATGAAAAGCAGCAAAACATCCGGCGATGTCATTTCCGTCACAGAATTTCAGTGGAAAACATTCACCCACTTAACACAACTATTTTTCACTCTTCACCACATTTTTTTCATTTACCCAATTAATTTATGAATTAAATTATTGAACTGAAGCACCTTCCATTTCCCGTCCCTTTCCATAGAAAGGAAGATGAAAATACGTAAAACATCCGGCGGTGTCATTTCCTTCACAGAATTTCAGTGGAAAACTTGCATCCACTTAACACAACTATTTTTCACTCTTCACCACATTTTGTTCATTTACCCAATAAATTTATGAATTAAATTATTGAATTGAAGCACCTTCCATTTCCTGTTCCTCCCCATAGAGAGGAAGTGATAAATACTAAACAAAAACTTATACGCGAATATGTATTTTTAAATTGAATTTCACTTTATCGAACACTTTTTATCTTTCTCCATGCAAAATTTCATTTAATTATTTGATTTTATTCACTAAAACACGATTTTTCACAAGAAAGATAAAATATGTACTTAGTCGGAGAAACCACGCCGCCAAAAAAAAATGACAGTTATGCTTGTAAACATACACGGAACCAGAAGTTCAGAAATCGTAGAAAAACTTGCGGGTAGATGACGCGGTGAAATTTACGTCCCTACTACCGTTTAAATTGTCAGACTAGAAATTTCTCATTTTAATTTTCGCGGCGACATCTGCGGGTGAAATCGCCCGTTGCTTGACCACTTGACATTTATGCTTGCGTGTTTTCCCGCTCGGTATCAGCTGTTAGCGGCAACAGCTGTAGAAAAGCTGTAGTTTATTTATAAATTTTCTTATCAAATCATATTCCGGCCTCCGTATACTGATAAGGAAAGTGAACATCGAATTTCTTCATTTGAACCATTAGAGTCATGTCAGCTAAACTACAGCATATCCAGAACCTACGGCACATCTTTCAACGTTCTGCGGAGTCCGTACGACCAGCACAACTGCTCAGCGAAACCAACCAGTATATTCTTAGACCACAGCCGAGTGAAGATGGTCGCCGGCTGAGCATACAAATACAAGGTAAAACTTTGGATATCACCCGTAAACACTGTCATGTAGTTGGTTTCGGCAAAGCTGTGCTCGGCATGGCAGTGCAACTGGAAAAGTCGCTCGGGAACCGCCTGGTGAGTGGTGTTCTAAGCATACCAGTGGGCACAAGGCAGCGATTCCGTGATGTACCCGAGATGCAGTTGCCAACAAACTCGATAATTGAAATTTTCGAAGGCGCACCAAACAATCAACCCGACGAGCAGGCACTCCAGGCAGCACAGCGCATCAAAGCACTCGCCGCGAATATGACCGAAAATGATATACTCTTTGTGCTGATATCTGGCGGTGGTTCTGCACTATTGCCGCTACCGCGTACGTCCCTCAAACTGTCGGAAAAGATGCAGCTGGTACGTCGTTTGGCAAATTGTGGCGCAAGTATTGATGAAATGAATGTGTTGCGCATTGCTTTGTCCGACATAAAGGGTGGTCGGCTGGCAGCCGCCGCACGTAACGCTTTTGCTGTCGTCTCGTTTGTCATCAGCGATGTTGTGGGCGATCCAGTCGACATAATAGCCAGTGGTCCGACTTGTTGCGCTCTAGCGAAACGTCTGTCGGCGAAAGAGGTACTAGAGAAATATGAATTATTCGCCGATTTACCTGAGCATATCCGTGTGCTAGTGGAGCAGCCGGAAGTGAAAGCAGAAATGGAACCAGCACGCAATAATTATATTTATATGGTAGGTGACAATCGCGTTGCTACAGCGCAGGCTGTGCAGGAAGCACTACAGTGTGGCTACAATCCTTTCATTGCCAGCACAACAGTGGAGGGTGAAGTGCAAGAACTTGTCAGCCAATACAAAGATTTTTTGCAAGACCTTTGCAGTTTTCGCAAGGGTGCGCTCGATGAGCATGAATTGAAAAAAAGATTCCCCTTCGATGCGCGAATCTTTCAGCATTTCCTAAAGACACTTCTCATGTGTGAGCGCACGAAGAAGCCACTGCTACTGATATTGGCAGGTGAACCCACAGTCAAGGTAAGCATCTAGCGCTCTTCGCTTAGCTGGCTCGCGTTAGTAAAAATCTTACGTTTTCCTTCTGCAGGTTACTGGTACCGGTTTGGGCGGCCGCAATCAGGAATTGGCTTTGCGTTTGGCGCTCGCTTTATACGAAAATGCGGATTTCGAAAATGTCATCTTTCTTAGCGCCGGCACGGACGGTATTGATGGTCCGACACCAGCAGCAGGTGCAATTGGTTGCGATTTGGTGATAAGCGACTTTCTGAAGAACACCTCTATGAGTTTAAACAATGTGCAGGCTTACCTGCAAAATAGCGATTCGTATAATTTTTATAAGAATTTGAACGGTGGCGAATATCATGTGCTGACTGGCCATACAGGCACTAATGTAATGGATCTGCAGTTCCTTTTGATTGCATAGTATTAGTACAAATATGGACGAAATTTTAGAGAACGAATATAAAGTGTTAAATATTAGTATGTTTACCGGAGGGAGTTTGGATTGCGCTTTTAAGTAAGTACATACATATATTCCAATTAGAAGCTGTAATTCTTAGTAAGGAAGTGTTTCTTCTAGCAACTTTGAAGGAAAATCCATTAATTTATGTATAAAGAAAAGCATAGTTCCTGCTGCATTTAATATTGTTGTTGCATACATATGTAAATAAATACTTATGTACTTTCTATTTAATGTACATATCTTCTGAATATACTTAGCGCAAATAGTAGATATTTTATTTTTGAAGTGAAGATATTAAGTAAATAGAATTTCGTCCAAGTCTGCAAGCCTTTAATGATCTTGCTTATAGCTTTTGGTTTCGACAACAGTCGGGTCTATGTAACCGGAACGACCCAGATTAACATCTGACCAAGGATTGTCACTCCATCAACATTCCATAAAAACTCTTTGGGAAATTTGTATGTGGTTACAACAACGACATTCAATTGGTTGTACCAGCTGCAGCGTTAGACTAAAGCAGGTCTCTTGTGGAAGCTGAAACTTTACCTCCATGCCTGCATATAAATCTGTTGTTGTTGTTGGAGCGGCTACAACAACCCCGCTCAGATCGGTTAGTATCTCAGTCTTTGTGGTCAAGCTCAACTAACGGAAGACCCAAGAAGCGTGCAGCGTCTGTCTATAGGTTCTGTCCAATAGGACGGAGGCGTTAGTTGCGTTGGGTTTAATCTGTTCAGGTATGAGTTCAACCTGCTGCAGTAGCCAGAGCGAAGTTGGGCTATTATGGTACGTGTCTCCCGAGCCAGACGAAGCTCCGTCACGTCTATGTCTGGTGGTTTTGTGCCAAGAACGGCATTCACAGGTCTGGAGTCTACGTAGCTTGGGACTGACTCCCTGTGAATGCCGCTCAAGGCCTGTCGATAAGCTGAAGGGTCCAGAGGTTTCTTTATGAAGTGATTTAAGTTCGTAAAGATGCTTTTTGACATGCCTTGGCGAGGGCTCCTCTGCAAGCAGGTGTATGTTCGGGTGTCCACGTCTGTGGCTCCCTACTAGGATATGCTTGCAGAGCATTGTGTTGTGCTCCTATTCAATGGTTCATTCAATGGTTTTTCCCACTAGCTTTCTTAAGCAGCGAAATAATCCGAAATGATGGAATTGACTCCCTTAGGTCTCAGTTTATTCAGTAGCATGGAAATTCCGTCCTAGGTTAAGGCTTTGGGCGGAGATCGAAAGTTATCTATTGTTGTTGCCGCTGGTGTTGTAAGGGTCCAAATTCGTTAAGGAGTCTCTTGGTGCATTCCTTTGGTCAGACATGAATCTATATCGTTCTGTTTGAGTAGACTGGATGGCAAGTTTTAAAAAGTAACACCTAAACTTATCCTCCAGTTTGGAATTGGTAGGCCTTTGGAGCCTCAGCTGAAAAAAATAGTCGCTGAACATTTCGTACTTGAATTGGTAAACCACCCTGCATTGCAGAAGCGAGCTATATCGGAAGTTTTGCCCCTTAATTTGGAGTACGCGATATCAGTGCCGTTGTCTGGGACGACAATATCGGGCAACATGAGCAAGTGAGATCAAAGAAAATTCTTCCGGCGGGCGCGAAAGATTCCAGATGTCAGAATTAAATAGAAGTAGTATGTACATATATTCTACCATATTGGATGCCACGTTAGTTCTTATGGGTTGATATCTCAGATCTAGAGTTAGTACTAGCGACTCTTCACATAATTCGCCGTCCACTGTTTGAGACGGTGAGAGGGAGGTGATATGTCAATGCCAGTGGCATGGCGTAACATCTGATGTGTTCCAAATTGCATCAATATAAAGCATCAGCCTCTTTTATTTCTAAACTATAATTGATAGAAATTCCCAATTTGCGCAACCAAGTTCCAAATCTCCATTTGAATGTGTTTGCGTTTATTGGACACTAACATCAATTATAGTTTAAAAATAAAAGCGGCTGATGCTTTGCTTTGATGCAATTTGGAGCTCAGCCTTTCACTATCGAAATTGAAAGCAAAAAATCAGAGTTGGTGTACGCTAACTGGCATTTATGTTGATGCTTAGCTGTGGCCAGTCCCTAGTCCAGATCCGAAGCGAGTTTTTAGGGAATCAGCTGTAAGGACAATTACACTGGTTTACAGCAAAAATGTTCTATGGATGCCCCTATCCAATTCCTATGTAGAATTGCTCGGTGATTCCGAAAAATCGAGTTAATTTTTTTTCTATGGATACGTTTTCAAAATATGTGCAATTTACCGTTATTCAGCTTAAAAAAAAGAGTGGTTCCACTTAATCATGTATGTATATCTTACGAACCAATTGAACAATCGTAATAGGATATACGGAAAATGAAAGTCAATGAAATTCTTCACTTATCGATAGGGCTGATAGTTTCAAAACAGTCGTTATCGTTTTATTTTTCACCTGTTGAAGTTTCATGTTTTTTAATTTTTTCATAAAAAAAAAAACTGGAGTTATTAGTTAATTTCTCAGAAACTATCAGACCTATCGAAAATTGATGTATAAACGGTTTTTGGACCACATATTTTATGTCTCGCTTTTGAAAACAGCACATTTTTTTATGAAACATTAAAAAACTTACATACGCATGTACTTGTGCAACAGCATAAATTTATTACATTTTTATTTGAGTTCTTCATTAATTTCTGTATGAACAAAAATACTTATGCAGCTTTAAATACAAATCCAAGTCCAAGTCCAAGTCCATAAGTATACATATGTGCCTAATTGTCTCTAGTAGGTTCAAATGTATTTAAAAACTTAGTTGGATTGTGCGTTGTTCCTTTGGCATACGATTGTCGTACACTTATAAATTTGCATAACAGTTTAATTAATTCATGGCAACCTTGAGTCATCATAAATTTCTTAGTAGCTCACTCCTGATTCAGATTCTTTCCCTTGCACTACTCAGATTTTGATTCTCCGCTCTAAATGTTTGCAAGTTTTTTGTAGTTTTATTTGCATTATTTACAAATTTTAGCCTCGCTATTTAAATAAATGGAATTCCTCAAATGGCAATTAATGTCATAAGTATGTACTTGGAAGCTGCGCATTGCGCCGGTGTTGAATCATTGGCGCTTCTGTGGAAAATAAATTAAAGTGAATTGTCCACACATAAATCGTGCGCCAACCAACCACTTGTTCGTACTGCTATGCACATGTCGTACTACTGCTCAATTTGTTCGCCCTCCAATAAAGCGACACCACAGCTGGGTCCATAGTGAGCATCCTTCTCGCATACATATGTATGTATGTATGTATGCAAATAAGTGACAAATGAACTAAAGCAAAGTTCAATTGAATTTGTTTAAATATGCATAAAAAACGCGCACACTTTTCGTATACATATTTACATACTTACAAAGATCTATTCCTAGTATAAGTCGTGTAAATGCTAAAAATTTATGTCGCATGCAGCGTTTCAATACCCACACACGACATTTTAATTTGAGGGTTCTCTCAAGGCTGGCACTTTTATAAATTTTGTACAAAAAGCTCAGAAAGGTGTAAGTGACCCCTTAAGACCTGGCCTTCTCAAAATAACCTAATCTCTTAATACGGCCTTGTTGTTACTCAAAGAAGTTTTGCATTTTTTTTCAACCCAGCTAAATAATGATTTCTGTTCCATTTCAAGCTGTAAACAGTGGTCTCAATGTGACCCTCATACGTGGTTTACAATTTACTTAGCCAATTCCCAAATTATTTCAAAACTTCTCTTTAGGGCACAGCAAAGTGTGCCAAAACAGCTTAACTAGAAAATCTATATCTTAACAAACAAGCCTGCTTCTTTTCAGTCTCTACCGTTCTTCGTAAACGTGAGCAACGAACATGGCGGACTTGAACATTTTCATAAGAAGTCCTGGAAGTCCCTGTTATTCTGCCAGTTTTATACTTTTTTTTTTAATTTATTAGATTCATTAATTGGGCATTGAGTACTGGTTGAAGCGCCTATATATATGTATGTATTTATTTATGTGCGCATTGTTGGCAATTAATAAAATTATATAAGTATATGTGCATATTATTATGGAATTCACCCGGATATGCAGATTTGCTGCATAGACATGCTGTAATGCAAAAATTTACAAATTATTATAATTGATTATGTTCAATTGGTGACATACATTTATTCCTGATTTAACTTGTTTTTGTCTATGCCAAAATCCAAAAACTAAAAGTGTAATTAATCAAATGGAATTGGATGATACTAATTCAACGCATAAGTTTAAGTATGCCAATTGAAGGAGTATACATACATAGATGTCTTCAATTAGTTGCAAGTTGTTATTAATTGCTATTTGCCTTGTATGGAATGATACAGCGGGAGGTTCGGGGCAAATTCCCTGCGACCTATAGGAAACCTCTTACTACCTGCTAATCGCTTGTTTCAATAGCATGCGAAGTCGATCAGCATCAGTCCGTTATCGAACGTTTCGTCGTGGAGGCTGAATTTTCCGACAGTGGCGCTCTTGCCCACCTTGGCATTAAAATCGCCCTGCACGATTTTGATATCCTGTCAGGGGCAGCGCTCATATATACGCTCCAAGCAGATGAGCGAGATGTTGAAGAATCTTGCTTTGATGCGCATTATGGCTCGACGTTCGTCCACCGGGGTGAACGCCAGTACTCGGCGACGGAGTCTCTCTCCCACTAGTGTTGGAAAACTATCGATAGTGTATACATTCGATTGTTTCTATAGTGATAGTGCAAAATATTCGATACTATCGATACTATCGAAAGCTTTCTTACATATGTTGAGATATAACACTAATGCCCGGTTTTACCAACCAATTTCAAAATGTATCAAACTTAACATTTAAAATAGCACAATCTCCTAAAAAATTGTGTAATTTTAAATTTTAACGGCCCGACAAATTTAAAATTGATTGGTAAAACTGGGCACAACATTTTGAAAATATGCAAATTTGAATCCATTTTTTATGGTCCTAGAAAGATTTGGCAAGTGATATGACAGATTCTATAAAATAACTTGTGTAAAACAATATGAGATCGTGTATGTATTTCAATAACAGATTTTATAACAAAAACCATGAAGAACATGTTTACAAAAAAAGGAGTTCACCACATACATACATATATGTATATTTATGTAGGCATGTTCATCTTTTTTATAGTCCAATTCCAACAACTATCGATAGTGTTTAGAAA